GCCTGGTATGGTAGTCCAGGAGCACGCCTGGGATTTGAGGGGGGTTATAAGGTTGTTTGGGGGGCTCCCCCTTCTGTGGGGCCCTCCTGTCTGTGATCTCTCTGTCAATCCCTGACTCTGCCCTCTGACGTCAAAGCCTGGAAGACTGCACTTTCTGCCTGAGTCCTGCCAGCCGCCTGGGGAGTGCAGAAGCCCTTGTCTTCTCTTGTTTGAAGGGTCCCATCCCCTCAGTTTCTACCGGCTTTTGGTTTCTTTACAGTGTTTTTCAAATATTTATGTTTATATTATTCCTTTATTTCTGGCAGTGGAACTGTCTGCCTGTGTTTTTAATAGTTAGCAAATGTTCTTAGTAACTCAGGCAACTTTTCCTATTCTTAATAGTAAACACAACTTTTCAAATGGCTGGTGACACACTCCTCTCCCTCATTTAAAGAGCTGTTGCTAATATTGCACTGTATGTCAACTAACTAGAACTTAAATTTAAATAAAAATGTGAAGAGAAGAAAAAATAAAAAGCCGTTGCTTTTCAAAGGCCCACTAGAACTCTTTGATAAAAGCAGGGGTTTTGTTTATTCATTTTTTCCATAGTGATGCTGTTGTTTCGAATTTCCCAGCCTTTGGTGTAAGACCCAAGCCTGAGAAAAGCTCTCAGCATCTCTTGTGGTGTCAGAGTTATCCTGGCAGCCTGTTCCACTGTTCTGGGAGGAATCACAGCAAGTATCAGCAAGCAACAGCATCTTGCTGACAGGGTTGTCGACGATGATACAATGTGCCAAATTTTTCCTACTGTGATTGTTTTGCAACTTAGGTCTTTTCTTGTAAGCTGATATATTTGCATGCCTTGCCCTGATACATTTTCTAGGCCATTTGGCATTTAAATGTAACAGCAGCAGTTACTCTTTCTTCCTACTCTTCCTGAGTTCTTTAACCAGTTTGGACTTCTCTGTGAGTTTTTGTTTCCTGTGTTGGTGAACCTTTTGTCCATCCTTTTCTGGCTTCTGCAACCTGGTAGCACATTTCAGCTCATTCCTGGAGCCACAGCTATCAGGATGTGCTCTGAGGTAGGTGAAGTGTGTTCAGTGTTTGGAATGATCCTTTTTGGTTAATTTCACTGCTCTGCAAACCATCAGGGGACATTGTAATGTTAAGGAAAGCCTTGCTCTACTTGTGTCACATCTTGGCTTTTTAGGTTGAGTTTTAGAAGGAAATCCTAACAAAAAGAACTTTGGTGAGTTTACTATGACACAGGTAGTCAAAGAAGGCTATTGTGATTTGGATTTGCCAGAATTTTGCTGCACATGTGATTGTGGGTAACATAGCAAAACAATCTAAGTAATTTGGATGCGATTTTCATGTCTTTCTTCATTTTGTCTTGGTTTTTAAGAATCTATAATAGAACTTCTATACTGATGTAATGTTTGTTTTACATAAAATTCTTTGCACTGAAATTCTGTAACTAGAAGTGGATACTTGAGCATATACTGTGAGAAACACTGTTCATTGATAATAGTTTTCAGAAACAGTTATGTTTGCAGGGAGGGGAAGGACTCACACAGAAGGGACTGAAAATCTGAAGGAAGATTTATTTATGTGTTTCTCTTGTGATCAAGGTTTTCCTCCCTTGCCACTATAAAAGCACTCTGGAAATTATCTTAGGCTTAATATTACAGTAAGTTTTTTTCAAATCCAGGTAATACCTTTTTGTGGGAGACTATTTTAGCCACTCAGATTAGGAATCAGCAGGACTTTACCTTTCAAAGGGGGAAGAAGGACATCTGTCCCTGAATGAAGAGGAGAAGGTGTCACGTACTCAGTTTAGTGTGAGATTGGTATTAGAAGACTGTGGTGGTCACTGGCCCAAACCTCCCTCTCCTGAGTCTAGTGCCCAGAGTGACGCTTCTAGACCTGCCACTTAAAAGGCATGGTTGCCGGCCCCTTGTCACCCACACGTCTTGTCAGTTTGCAAACCATGTTCCCCCGTGAGAATTAGTAGGACTGCAAGTCTGCAACCTGAATGTCCTATGTCCTGTGGCTTTCTCACAGTCTAACATAAGGGTCAGCAAACTATGACATGGCAGGTTAACTTGAAGAATCATTTTTACATGTATCAATAGTTGAAAAAAACCAAAAGTTTAATATTTCATGACACATGAAAATTACAAAATTCTAACTTTAGTGTCCGTAAATAGAATTGTTTTGTTTTTAATGTCTCCTCATTTACATGCTGCTTGTGGCTGTTTTTGTGCTGCGGCAGCAGAGTTCAGTGGTTGGGAGCCCATATGGTCTGTGTGGGCCTGAAGTTTGCCATCCCCCAGTCTGACATGCCCCCTCTTACTGCCTCCCTTCAGTGTCTAAACAAAGTCCGGCCACTGAGTATACTTGAAACAGCACATTCAGCACCGCAGCCACTGGGAGGGGGGCAGGCTGGTGGGGGACTGGCAAGCACAGGCTCGATTGCGGCCCTAGAGAGGAAACACCAGGGATGCAAGGAGAGGAGGGGCAGGAGTCTCATCCTGCATCACTAGACCCCCCCCACCTTCAGCTTTAAGGAAAAGGGGCTGCTCTGGTGTAATGGACACTTGACCCTTGAACGACATGGCTTTGAACTGCGTGCAGATTTTTCCCAATAAATACAGAACTGTAGTGTATTTTCTTGTTCTTAGGACTTTCTTAACACTCTCTTTTCTTAATTCTCTTCTTAACTTTCTTAACTCTTCTCTGGTTTATTGTAAGAATAGGGTGCAGAATGCACACACAGAGTATGTGTTAATCGGCAGTATATGTTACTGGTAAGCCTGCCAATCATCAGTAGGCTATGAGTAGTTAACTTTCTGAAGAGCCAAACATTATATGCAGATTTTTTGCTGCCTTAGAGACGGTGGGTCAGTGCCCCTAACTCCTGTGTTGTTCAAGGGTCAGCTGTACTTCATGCTTCTGGGACGGAAATTGACTTAAAGAAAATAAGTATTAAAATGTAGTTTTCTCTTAAGAGACAATCTCTTTACCCCTTGTCTTAAAAACTTTTAAGCTATTTCTGCTGTGAAATTGATTTGTGTAGAATTTTCCAGAAATGTGTCTTTTACTTATATGGAAGTACTTAAGCCTTTATACATAACTTTTGGCAAGCAAAGGAGCAGGAAGAGAATTACTTTCAAAGCTTTCCATGCTATCTTGTGGACTGTGTGGACTTACATATGCAGATCGGACATTAGTTATTAGTTAATAATCTACAGAGATGATTAGTTATCTCTGTGGAGATTTGTTAGGCATGAAATCTGCCACCTGCTGAAACAAGTCCTTTCTTTACCCTTAATCCTTTTTTCACAGAAGCAATAATGTGTATTTAATTTTAGGCTTTTCTGTAGTTAGGTGTTTTAATTCCCTATATCCCAGGTAGACATTGGAGAGTTCTTTGGGGGGGGGGCAGTTTAAGAGTAGGGGAAATGATGGGTAAGGTACTCTCCCATTCTCCAGAAGTGTCTACAGTGGTACTCTAAATTAGCCTCTGTTATTTTGGAATGTTGGAGAACTAGATACACCTTTGTGTCATCTGACCTGACCTGTAACTTTGCCAGGAATTTATTGATGTTCTTGGTAATTGATGGGCTTAGGCTTCGCATCCTTAATTAAAGAGCTGCTCTATGGCTGTAGGCCTCTCCCTACGAGGCACAAAGATGTGTGCTGCCCCTGGGGAAGCAGGCTGATGGTTTTCATGCTGACTAGAGAGGTTACAACAGATTCTCAGTGTTTCCTCAATAACATGGGAGATGTTATGTCAAATATATTCATTTATGCAAGTCATAGAAGATCACCCATTTATACTTAAGAATGTTAAGGTACTGAGGCACCTGGATGGCTCAGTCACTTGAGCGTTCAGCTCAAGTCATGATACCAGGGTTGTGAAATCAAGCCCCGCAGTGAGGTCCATGCTGAGTGGAGCCTGCTTAAAATTCTCTCTAACTCCCTCTACCCCTTCCCCACTTGCTCACACATGCTGTCTTTCTAAAACAAATCAAAACAAAATTAATTAAAATAAAGAATGTTAAGGTAGTAGAATTGGTTACAATAATAATAACTGTCTTTCATGGCAGATTCATAAATTTGTGTGAATTCATACGCTAGATATGGATGTATTGGGGTGCTGAGTGGCTTGGTCGGTTGAGCGTCCAACTCAATTTCGGCTCAGGTCATGATCCCAGGGTCATGAGATCGAGCCCCACATTGGGCTCCATGCTGAGTGTGGAGCCTGCTTAAGATTCTCTATCTCCTTCTCCCTCATTCATGCTTGTGTGCTACCAACCCCCCCCCCTCAAAAATAAAAAATATAAATAAAAGAAAAAAAGATATGAGATGTATTGACCATCAAATTCCAGGATTAACAGCATTTTCCTTTGAAGGTGTTAGCATAAAATTAGTTCAAACCAAAATTTGAAAGTAAATAACTGACTGTTCCAGACCGTTTTGTTACCAGTAGAGCATCACATTGTCTGTTGACCTTTTTTTCAGTTTTAACCAAGTGCTTCTAATGCTGCTTCCAATGCTGACTGTGTTTCCTCAGCCCTGGGCCCTTGGTAGCTACCTGCATTTAGCACAGCCAAGCTAGTGTGTGAGTGTCTGCCATCGGTACCCTAAGGATGACCAGGCAGAAGGCTGTAGGTGACAAATCCTGTGCCAGTTGTAACTGAAAACCAACTCAGGTCGTCCAGGTTTCATGTAAAAATTTTTAAAAGAGCCCCCTTTGAATCACAGAAAAATAAGCTACCTAATGTACCTCCATATATTCTGGGCATAAAGTTTTAGCATTTTGTCTGACTTGATTTTAGCAAAACTGCTAAAATCCCAAATGTTCTGTTCCTGATTTTCAGATGGTTCGGCATAGGGAAGAGAAGGTTGTTTTCCTTATCCGTTGTGTTTTTTATTGTTTTTGATGCTTCCTTATTAACTCTGTGCTTTTTTTCAGATGGTATGTTTATACTTCTTTCTTTTCTGTTGACAAACAGGTTGAAAGGATTGTTGACAAAAGGAAAAATAAAAAAGGGAAGACAGAATACCTGGTTCGGTGGAAAGGCTATGACAGTGAGGATGACACCTGGGAACCAGAGCAGCACCTTGTGAACTGTGAGGAGTACATCCACGATTTTAACAGACGCCACACTGAAAAGCAGAAAGAAAGCACACTACCCAGAACAAACAGGACCTCTCCAAACAATGCCAGGAAACAGATCTCCAGATCCACCAACAGCAACTTTTCCAAGACCTCTCCTAAGTCACTAGTGATTGGCAAAGACCACGAGTCCAAAAACAGTCAGCTGTTTGCTGCCAGCCAGAAGTTCAGGAGAAACACAGCTCCATCTCTCTCAAACCGGAAGAATATGGACCTGGCAAAATCAGGTATAAAGATACTTGTGCCTAAGAGCCCCATTAAGAGCAGGACCGCAGTGGACGGCTTTCAGAATGAGAGCCCTGAGAAACTGGACCCCGTCGAACAGGGTCAGGAGGACACAGTAGCACCAGAAGTGGCCGCCGAAAAGCCAGTCGGAGCTTTACTGGGCCCTGGTGCAGAGCGAGCTAGAATGGGGAGCAGGCCACGAATACATCCATTAGTGCCTCAGGTATCTGGCCCTGTGACTGCGGCCATGGCCACGGGATTAGCTGTTAACGGAAAAGGTGAGTGTCCAGGTGAGCTGCTCAGTGGGCAGCGTCCCTGTCGATGGCCACGGGCTGTTACTCAGCATGCTGGTGACTTTTTCAAGGTGTGTAGGTGCTTCTTCCATACATGCTGGTCCTGTCCGGAGAGCAGGCCGATGAAAATCTGGGGAACCTGCAGTCTGTTTCTAACAGACATGCCCTGGAACTGTGAGAGGTGCCACAGCCTCTTTCCTCACTTGAAGCCTTTAGCATTTATGTTTTAAATCAGCTCTCGCTATGTGTTCAGTGTGCATCCACAAACCGTACCACCATTTAAAAGGCGTCTTGCTCTAAATCGGTTATGCTCGGTAGTTTTCCTTTATAACAAGTTTGTTTGTGAACATTTATGCATCTCAGACACTGAGTCTCATGTTCAGGGTCCGTGTGAATTTTCTGAGTGTGACCTGTATTGGGTCATGATCCTTAGATTAGAAGTCATGATCCTTATTTTGCTAACCCATCTACATAACCAGCAATTTCTTTCAGTGGAAGTACAATGTACCTTCGGGATTTGGGCTTTTGTTCTCTGTAATGGTCAACTGTTCGGATCCCACTGTCCCTTTTACAGAATAGGAGTCTGTTCAATTGGGGTGGTATTTCCTGTTTTGTTTCCACTCCTGCTCTTGGATTCTGCAGCTTAGTTGGTTGAACCATGGCCTCCCCAGCTTCTCAGACGGTGCAGGTGGGATTATCACAGACAGCTTCCATCCCCTTTGCTTCCCCCATGCCTCATCTAGCCACCCATCATTATAGAATTCTGTTACGGGTTTCTCTACTGTAAACCCCACTAGCTTTCCCTTACTTGGGGCCCTGGTTACTTCTTACCTGCCGTAGCTTTCTCACAGGTCTCCCTGCTTCCTGCCTTTTGACAGTTCCCATCCATTTTCTATAATTCTTGGATGGGAGGAGCATCCCCACCACCAGTCTGACCACACCACCGTTTCTGTAGTTCGCAAGCGTGCTCCTGAGTCTCTGCTTGGCCCGCACTGCCCTCTCAGCTCCCTCTCTCCACGTCTGCACTCCTGCTGTCCTCTGCCAGGAGCATCATACCTCCCCTGTCCCTCAGTCACCCCAGGACCTCCCACTATGCCTGTGATGCAGGGCCCACCTGCTTTTGTGTCCTCTGGTCTCCTATGCTGCCCGAGCCCTGTGTGTAGCAGAACTGTGATCATGTCTATCTGCCTGTCTCCCCCAACTCACCCTTAGTAGAATGAAAGAAAGCGAGAGGGAAGCTTATTTCCCTCCAAAGAGAAATGCTCACCTGAGATGCCACTCTAACCATCTTGCTGTGGTGCATCAAAAAGTTTTGGCTTAGATGTTTGTGTAGCAATGAGGAAACGGAAATGCAGGGGTTCCCTTGGGGCAGTAAATTGCCATCTTGCTAGTGTCTTTCAGATAACACACTTTACCCAAATGCTGCTTTTCTTCCTTGCTCCAGGAGTTTTGCCCTCGCCTGGAACTTGTATGAGCTTATTTACCGAGCTGACTTCCTGAACTGTTGGCCTGCTCGTAGACCCGGTTTTCTTTTACGTTGTTGTAAATGAAGGATCGTAGAGGTTCAGAGGCAGAAGAGACTTTATCAGCCATCTGATTGCATGCTGCTTGTCACAGAGAGGGGAGCTGAGTCCAAGGAGATTGTGATGTTCAGAGAGAACTGAAGGCAGAGATAGAATCAGAACATGTTTCTTAATTCCTACTCCTGTGTTCCATTTCTTGCTGCCTCCACTAGACCGGGAACATAGACTTCTCTATTGATTACTCAGGGCCAAGCACCTTGCTGGGCTCTTATCTAGCAGATAAGGGCAGGGCTTGGCAACCAGCCCACTTGCCTTTTCCATGTGGCCTGCAAGCTAAGAATGGTTTTTACACTTTCTAATGTTTGGGAAAATCAAGAGGAATAATATTTAATGCCATGTGAAAACATAAGAAATCAAAATTTTTGTGTCCATAAATAAAGTTTTATTGGAACACAGCCACATTTCATTCATTCACTTATGGTCTGTGGCACTTACGGTCAAGGACAGAGTTGAATCATTATGACAGAGACTGTATGGCCTGCAAAGCTGAAAAAATTGACAGTCTGGCTCTTTACAGAAAAAGTTTGCTAAGTCTTGCTCTAGGAAGTCACAGTCCTAGGGCAGTATTTTTGGAAAGTAAAGGGATACAAAAGACTTTAGAAGATCTGTGGCTCCCCTTTATCCACAAAAGTTGTGTGTACATTCATTTTTATGGGTGATGGGGCGTGATTTTCAAAACTTTTTGACCCTTTAAGTTTCCACGTTCTGTTTTTACCACCGTTACGCAAGCTTGGCTCCCCTCAGCAAAGCCTTCAGTTTTGTATAAAACGAGGATATTGGGTTCAGTTTAAATAAGGAGTTAGTGACTGCCTTTTTTATTACTATTCCCATGTCAAAAAATTTTTAAATGTCCATAAAGGTAGCTTTGGTTAAAACCACCACGGATATGTAAGCATAAAATCTCAAATTATTTTATCTTGTTCTGTGAAGGTAGGCAGGTTGATTGGGACGGGAGTAACACTGTATTTCCAAGGTCCTCATGACCTCCTTTCTCTCCTGACCCTGAGTCCTATATACTGTTGAGAACACTTAGACCAGAGAAAGAATAGAAGCCGCTCGGGAATGTTTTTAGAACAGTGGTAAATGACATCCCCAATGGCCATGATCTAAATCAGGCTTGAAGATTAAAAGGGAAAAGAACCATCTCCTCCTCCCTCCACAGCCTACTGTGGGAGTGTCCTTTCTGAGCGAAGCATGATGGCAAAAAGCAAGTAGTGTCCTAGACAGCATGGCCACCTACAGACAGGTGCTCAGGTGGATGAGTGCCTCTGCTTCTCTTCACCCTTCTCCTTTGCAGAAAGATGCTTTTGTTCCCTCCTCTGGCGAGTAGGCTCCAAGAAGGGATCTGGTTTTGCCAGGGCTGAATCCTCCCGTATCCTGAGCAGTGCCTGTTCATAGCACATGCTGCCGGTGTTTGTCAGGGAATGAGTCCAGTAGAAGGGGTACTCATGGAAGACAAAGATGGTATAGTGAGTTCTTGGTAGCCCTGTCGCCAGATCACACTAGATGTGAGGGAAGACATGCTATTGAAATGACAGGGTACAGAGGCCAGAAGCACAGAAACATCCCAGAAAACCTCTTACTCGCCCTTGGGGCATTTCTTTCCTGAGAGAGCAGTACTGAAGCCGCATCAGCTTGCTGGTCTACACTCATAATCTCTTAAAGTCGTTGTTTGTTTTTACTTTCCACATTAATTTTAGAGCTACATGAGAAAACTGATTTGTTTTTTTAAAACTAATGGAAGCAGATATTCATGGAGTCACTGGGGAATGAATCATCTCTTATTCAAAACATTAATCATGTGTGTATGAGGGATATTTTTTGCCACCAAACACAACAGATATTTAAATATCTGTTAACCAAAAGAGTAAATGTTTCTGGAGAATTTTAACACACACAATTACTTTTACAAAATAGCCATATGTATATGTGGCTTGTAACTTTTAAGTGTGAAACAGGTTTAAAAGATGACTATATTGCTTCACTCAGAAATATAAAAAAATCTTAAATTTAGGTGATGTGGCTGCCTTCTTTCTACTCTTTGTTAATGATAGTATTTTCTTGGTCTTTTAATTGCCTAACAAATTAATCCTACAAAAGAAGCAATTGCTTTTATAAACTGGATTATTGTTACTTTGTTCTTTTGTGAATTCAAATGTATAACTGATCATCATTGTACATTTGAGAAAATACTGTTAGCACACATTTTAAAAAATGACGTCTAAACCTGATCAGTGTAATTGCATAGAGTTGATGGATATGAAGTCGGAGCCAACAGATTCAGGTGGAAAGTGGGGAAATACCTTAACATGCCTCAAGTCTTTTATTCTGTGAGCATTTCTATTGAAGGAGGCTCCCAGGAGCAGTTGTTTAGGAAAATATGGCTTCTTCTGAGGAGCTGGAGTGTAAGTTCCTCTCAATAAGAATATGAAGCCTGATGATCTATCTCCCTTCTCTGTCATTATCAGGGAAGATGTTGTACCAAATCAATAGCTCCACCCTTGGAAGAGGCCCCGGTCCCCCAGGGCCATTTGCAATTTCTGTGCTGAGATTGGAATTTAACTCAGAGAAAGGGAAGAAATCAGGAGACCGGTGGCAGAAAACCGCTCAGTAGGGCCTCAATAGGACATGTCTACTCAGAAAGCAAAGGCTAAACATTAAAAATGTGCAACCATTTGCGATCGACACAGAGCCAAGGCCTTTCAATGAACGGGTACTTTCGTTTGCCAGTTGTCTGGTGAGTCAGGCCCTTTCCATGGACCCATGGAAAGGGTCTGACTTTGGAGATCGGTTGATTGATCAGAGTTCGGTGTTGTGTGAAGTACATCCAGACACATCATCTACTATTGCCAATTTGGATTTCATTGAAATGGGGCAGACACTTTGGGACTTACAAATCTGAGTGCACAGTCCTGGAATTTTTTCATTTTTCCCATTTTCTCATTTACACCTAATTTGACCGCTGTTTTCACATAGAGCCTTTCCAGGACATTAGACATAGACATCAGCTCACCTTTTGTAATCCTGTCTCCTATCTTACGTAAAAATGAATTGAATATGCCAAGTTCAACTGGACTAAGAAGTTTCAGGGATCAACCCAGCCAGCTCTGGACCAGCACACATCCCAGCAAGAGCAGCCGAGACCCACCTGCCCAGCGTCTGTGCTGCTGGGGAGACTTCCCCTCCCCCTGCACTTGCAGGGTTTTATGGTATGTTCAAGGACAGTTAGGACTTGGGGCAAGGGTGACCCAGCAAACATACTTCAGAGCCCTTGTGACTGTTTAGTGTTTGCTCTTCATTTCCACTTTCTTATGTTTTCCTATACCAGTGATTCTCAAAGTGTGGTGCCCAGCATCTGGGTGACCTGTTAGAAATGCTCATCCCTGAACCCCCGCCACACCT